AAAGTGTTCGTGATCGTGTTACCCTGAACCGAAGGGTAATTATGCATAGTGGCAGTTTAAACGGCTTTGCTTCCATCTTCTGTATCCTATGCATTTATTTAAAACTCTTTTAACGAGAAAAAGATTTTGGTATCCAAAATCTTTTTCTCAAACTTGAAATCATATGAGCTATATTCCAGCATGAAACAGTTCGTCGTATTGCCGTTGTATAAAGATTTCGGTTATACGATTATGTCTAGGAAGATATATGGGATGCAAACCTTGTTCGTCTAGTTCTGAGTTTCTAAACGATCTTTAATTTACATACTCTTTGTTCATAGTATAGATTCCATTTAATTATTTCTTCTTCCGTTATTCCTTCTGATTTGGCTTGTCTGATTAATACACCTATAGCTAGTTCATAATCGTTATCATTGAGTCGACCTTTTGCTGAAGACGTTTTTTAAGCAAGGAATTTTTCCTTTGGATATTAAATTATAAATTTCAGAGTCCATGCAGTAGTTCTTACCAATCTCGACCACTTGCTAAATCGATTTGCGTCGATTAATTTGAAGTTTTATCAATAGTAAAATGTGCTACAATCTTTTGGCTTCTTCACTTTCGTCTTCGCTGTGAATTTCTTTGAAATTATATTCCCAGACTGGCATGTTGATTCTTCCTCTGTGAACCATCTGGTCCTTTCACCATGATTCAAAATGTGCAAGACGAAGTGAAAAAGTCCTCTGGAGGCACATCAGCTGGATTAAATTCACTTGGAATATGGCGAAATGAGAATTTTGTTTGTCTTATTTCTTCAACTCAATTTTGGACGAATTTTGGTAGTAAGCGAGAATGATTTTTATCCAGTGTAATGCGCACTTGGAATCTGACCATAAGGTGACATCAATATTCTTAATTCCATTTGTTTAATAACAAACTGACAGCACGTACTCCTATTAGCACGGCTAATAATTCTAATCTTGGAATAGTCATAGACAGGCGTTGTTTTCTTTCAATCGCTGCATTCTTCGTTCTAGATTAGGATAGGTTTCACATCATATTCTCAGTGGTTCCTATTGCAAAAAGCACATGGTCTTTAAGTTTTGCTAATTTTCGTATTAGCCTTTCTATGTGTTTGCGGTGCTATTACAGTTAGAGCGGAAGTTTCTTTTGTAAAATATCGTTGATTAGTTCGTGGACCAATTTTGCTTTTAGTTTCCTTTGCTCTTTCATGATGTCAAGGACTGGCTTCTTCGTTTCTTTGGATCAGTTTTGCTAAGAATTGTCTTAGCTTAGCTACTGACCATATTTCTTGTTCCTTTGTTGATACACTCTGCCCAGAATCCAGGCAGGCAGTTTATTTTCAATGATAATTTCAATACTGGATTCTTCGAGATTTTCACCTATTGCTTCAAGTTGTCGAAGTATTCTTCCAGTAGCTTCAACTGTTATCTTCCATCTCGATCATTCTTCTCTTGACGGAATATAACTCATTGTAGAACGATTTTTAATGATATGTGATTGCCCAAATTTTTCAATAAGAACTTTTCGTATCACATCGTAATTTCTGGGTTATATCATAACCTCTGCCAGTAAGGCATCTCCCTTTAGACATGCAATTAAATAATTTAATTTTTGGATGTCTGATATTTTTGTAAATGGACTGCAGCTTCAAAGTACTCCAGAATCCTCTCCACATCTTAGAATTACCACTGAAGGTAGGCAGTGGTAGTTGAGATAAGTTAACAGGGTTATTTGAGTTGGTTACTCCTTTATTTCGCCTTCTTTAAGACGCTGGATTACTAACTCTGAGTCATTCATATACATACTTAAGGTTATGATAACTTCTTTGCCTTCACTTATTAAGTTTAAAATACCTCTTTTATCTTCGACCATTTTGGCGTATTTGTCTTCATCTTCCTTGCTCTCGTTGCTGGAACTGTTGTATGCATTGGACCCAGTTAGCATTAATTGTCTCAAGTGTACCAATATGCAGTTTGAGACATTATTCTTTCTTCAATAATTCTTTTTCGAGCCTCGTGCTGTTGACGGGTTTCTTCTCTGGTCAACATTTGCTCGAAGGCGTCAGATCCATTTTTGGATTTCTTTGAGAAGAGCTTCCAATTTTCTTTTGCCGGTGTATTATAGTTGCAGACATTTCCCGGCTCGTGGCACCAAAACTTATTTGTCGTGGAAGATTTTGATTGTTTAATTTAATAATATTGGAGAGATGTTTGATCATAGGGAGATTGTCTTGGATGTAAATCTAATGCGTGAGTAACAGAAATATAATCCAAGTTCTTTATTAGCAAAAGTAATAGGACAAAAACGTTGATAGAGAACAATTGAAATTGGAATCGTCGGTCCTTGGCGATAAATTACACCTATCCCAATCTTTTAACAAGGGTGATCCTTATATAGATTATCTTATATTAATGTGTTAAAATGTGGGAGTGGTTATAATTAGACATTTTGTACAAATCATGACAGTAAGTAACTTTAACAATAGGTTTAAAAATGGATATCACAATGAATTGAATGGATATCACGAAAAAAAGTACAATGGTTTGTCCAGACATTATGATAAGTGGCTACTATGAGTTGCAATAGATATTATATGATAGATGCTCATAGTATATGAATTGATATAAGATCAAAAGTCAATTAAAAACCATTATGATGATTGTAAAAGACATCAATGGATTGCTATATTAAGCATTGTTAACATTTATTTAGTGCTTCGCAATATTAAAATCCGCGACAGTAACCACTTACAACCACTTGTTGATGTAGCCACTTGCTATCACTTGTTATGGCAACTGCTAACTAACCAACTGTTGATGTAACCACGTGCAGCTACTTGCTACTGCAACCACTTGTTAGTGAAGACGCCCTGTACAGCAGGTGGTTGTAAGTGGCTACGCATGGTTACAGCAACAGTAGGTGAATTTATTCCTCATAAATTGAGCTCCCAGGAAAAACTGAACCAGAAATTCCACGTGATAAAGCAAATTAAAAGAGGAAAGGATGGAAAGTGTAGAAAGTGTATAAACAAAAACGTATCGATCGACAAACTATAAAAGCAATACATATATATTCAATATAAAACAATGCATTGAAACAAAGGTACTCAACCGTCTTTAAGGCATCTCCTTCATTTGGGAGTGTCGTGAAACTCGAAATAATCTCTCGAGCCTCAAAATAACTTACAAAATTGAACAGTTAGAAATGTAAAACTATTTCAAATTACATATGTAAACAATCATTATTCCAACTCTCATCTTCCCACTGTACCTAAGTTTATTTGCTTGTCTAAACATTTTCAACTGATAATAAAGAGTATGTACATTGTTTAATATGTTAAAAATTAGTCTTTTGTTCCAAGTCAAATTTGCTTGCAATGTCGAAATACTGTGATGATCTTCTAAGCTGATAATCATTCTTTGGGTCATCATCAAAAAGAAGATCACACATCTCGAATATTATGCTAGGTCTCTCGAAACAGCCAATCAAAAATGCATGAATATCATTCAGAGCTTAGCCATCGCGACGAAGCGAAAAAAAGAAGAGACGAAATATGCCTTGATGACTATTATTATTCTTAAAATATGTAGTGATGAATACTGCCTGGTACTTCATATTTAGATCAAGAAGATACCAGAGAATCATTCTCATAGAATAGTATAGTTCTCACTAATCAAGCGGAGATAAAACTCCCACAATTACCACTAATAACATTTAGTGGAATGCAAAATTATGGAGGCAATTTTGGTGTAGTTTCAAGGCGACAGTTCATGAGCAAAACACCCCAGATAATCAGAAGTTGAACTATTTGATATCTTGTCTTAAAGGAGACGCATTGTTAGCTGTAAGAGGCTATGATATAGCGCCAGAAAACTACGATGTCATAATAAGTTTACTAATAGAGAAATATGGTAAACCTTTCATTACATATATATTGTAACACTTTACAATAAATTGAATTCCATCAAAAGAAATGAGCATGACTGGAAACCATGGAGAGAATACTTTGACAGCTGGAAGCTATAGGTGAAAATTTAAAGCATCGAGTATCGAAATTTCAATTAAGAATAAATTAACAGCGTGGATAGTTAATAAATTATATAAATTGAAACAGGAGTCTGTCGACTTGGTCAGTTAAAGGTATCCAACATACTTGACAAGACTAGTACTAAAAAATGAAGAAGTTGCTAGAAGTCAAACAAGAAGACAACAGGGAGAAGAAAGAAAACAAATATAATGTTAAGGGTCACAATCAATTCATCAAAGGGAAATAATACAATCAAATCAAAAAGGGTTCCAGAAGAAACTACTATAGATGGAAAAAGACTGAAGTATTTTGCAATAAGGACCATTGGAATAATTAATGAATGTAACATTTATCCCACACTCAAACTCCGAATGGAACGTTTGAGGAAAATCGCTGTGTGTTTCAAATGTTTACGAATAGGATATGCGACAAGTGATTACAAAAAGTGGAAACTTTTGTGTTTTCATTGTTTAAGTTTACACAATACTCACTGTGTCCTCTTAACTATAAAAAACTCACGCAAACAATGGATTCCAACAAAGAAAAATTAGTTGATATGATAGAACTGTTAAGAAATAGACTGAATTACTTCTAGCAATGTATTATTGTTTTAATTTAGGTACTATTATTTATTCCGTGATTTTGAACTCGAAGATTTGATCAACAATGCTGGTGGTTGTTAAGAAATTAAATTTCTTTGTTGAATGCAAGAAATGCCCTAGAAATCTTTCTATGTCAACTTTATGCAATTTTCTATGTCATTTTGAAACAAACAAAATTTGTTTTTTGATGTTCAGAACATAGTTCATCATTAAAAAAAACACATACGTAATATACTGATAAATATTTAAACCTAACATACGCGTATAATGTATACTTAAATATAATGTAAGATTATTTATGTGTTATTATAACAAATCTCAATTTTATTCAGCAACAAATGTCACAGAATTTTACAACATTAAGTTTCTTACAAGACTTCAAAGCTGATAAGTTGAACAACATTGTAAATCCCAGCTCCCCAAAAAAATCGAATCAGAATTGGTCGACCACTGCTGCAACAAAAGTATCATTAAGCAATGCAAACAAGAATCAGCGTCAATAGTTTACTTACATGGAATCATACTGAAGCAAAAAACCATTTTATGTTGAGAATATTGACAATAACAAATTTTAATTTTATTCAACAATAAACTTCGCAGAAACTTACTTCCACGGTAGCATTGTTTCGTTGATGTAACCGAAATCTAATAGTCCGTTTAGCAAAATTCTGTCAATCTGTGTGCTATCATCCCACGATGAACTTTCAATAGAAATGATACTATCTCGAATAAGTTCAATATTTTCAGCAAATTCATCCATGTTTTCTTCATAGGGAATTTCATCGTTTTCGCCCAATTCGTCATCAAATGCATAAAAAATTTTCAGTGAATTCCTACTTTTTTAAAATATTTTTTCATTTAGAACCAAATTGTAACAATATAAAAATAAAAATTACCGGAATTGGTCTCTGAGGTGCTGCTAATAATATGAATGTGCTAAGAACGTAGAGCAGTAATGGTGACGTAAAAAATGAGAATTGTGCATTTGTCATTGTTGCCGGATTCCTTAATGAAAGGAGAAATTGTGATAACATATATAATGAGTGGTAATTTAAACTGATAGACTTTGACGTTTCTATTTTTCAGTCTAACGGCAAAACACTGATAAATTATATTTCATGAATTGCATTATCACACCGATTGACACAATACAGCTTGTCGATTGTTTTATTTAATAATACTTATTAAATATGCATTGAATTTGAAATCAATTTCGTTCCTCTTTTTAGCTAACTAATCCTTATTTTGTCTAAATATGCTATAATTTTAAAAAATAAGTAAATATGCAAAAATAAAAGTTATGATGGTTTTTGTCAAATAATTTCGAGAATAAATGCGGAATTTCCCATTCCTAAATTCTTTTTAAATTGTTTAAGAATTCAAGCGAAAAGGTTACGAGATTCTGAAAGCGATAAAAAATGAATTTGAAAATTTTTTGACAAAAAACTCTACTTATCAGTTAATTTATATGAAATTATGCAGGTTATCACCAGAATTCATTTAAAAATTTTATCATGTTCTGAATAGAATAGAAGGATTTACATGTCAAACAATGATTCCATGTTTCAATAGAGACAATTCAACAAAAAAATAATAATTTTTTTTATTTCCACTAAAGATTACAATAGACAAAAATTCATGGCAACTTTGCTGTTTAAAAAAAAAAAAATACATGTCTCCCTTACTACAAGGGAATGCATAGAGAAGTATATAAATGTTGGAATGTATATAAAGGTAACTCACATTTGATATATGTGCCAGGTACTATTGAAAAATAGCTGAAATAGGCTTGAAATGATCCACTTTCTCAGTTATTTGAATGATTGCAAAATGGAAATTGAAATCAATCGTACTGAAGCAAAAACCATTTTATGTTGAGAATATTGACAATAACAAATTTCAATTTTATTCAACAATAACCGCCTTACTTCAACTTACTAACTTAGTTCCACGATAGCATTGTTTCATTGATTTATTCTTTCTATAAAAATCCGTCTAGCACATCTGAATCATCTGAACAGCACAAAGTGTTAAAAACTAACAAATTAATAAAAATTGCTCAAACAGTTTCGACAGATTTAATTTAAATTAATCTAATGAAATTAACTTAGCATTTTGCTAAATTTATCTGAAAAAATTGTCCTTCTTGACCGTAATTTTTTGTTAATAACTAAGTTTCATTACCGTCTTTAAATGATTTCAGTTTAAATTGATAAATGTATGTAAGTCAAGACACATTAATTAATTGTTGAAGCTGAAATATTTCAACCCAACTTATATAAAGAGTAAAGATCATCTAAAGTTATAGTTTTACAAATAATTCGTTATATTTACATTGTCTATAAGTGCAGTGTGTTATTAGGATTACAGTAAAAGTGACGAAATAATCAAAAAGAATATGCGATTATTACTTTAATTACAAAGGTAAAGAAGTGACCATCGGTGATCACTCGAAATAATCACAAAAGTAAAGCACTGATCACTGGAGACATTATAACAGCTTTAATGCCATCAAACAGAAAATTCCTTTGTTCTACTTATCGTGAAATCACTCATAGGCAGTATTACTGAATGAGAGAGCTTTTGGTGTGGATTTTGATGTCATGCACGTTTCGGTGTTCCCTAACTTATACATTGATATTTTTGTATTTTACATATTTAAGCTTTATTTGAAGATTTCGGATGGAAGGATTTGAGTCATTCTTCGTTTTTTGTTGAAGTTTGTTTTTGTTTTGTAGCACTTCTAGTTCGTTTAGCTATGGGTTCCTCTCGTTTATCAGTTCCATTTATTGTATCTTTCGATACTGTTGATTTGTCCTTCGCATCTTCTTTCTGTTGAATTTCCAAAGGATATAACATATTAATAGGTCGATTCATTATTCTTCCTCGTAGTAACTCTATTAGAGCACTTTTTATCTTATTATCCTGTCCCTTATTGAGTTTCTTTATTTTTGCTAATTTCCAAGTACCATGAGGAGCGTTTGATTCGTTTACTATTACAATTTCTTCTTCAATAGGGGCTCTAATCTCTGCGCCTTTCGGAGTTCTACTTGTGTACGTTCTCTCAAACTGGTTAAGTATTCTTCCTTCCATATTTTCTAGAAAGTATCCAGAGTTTCCATTGTTCTTGCCCAATATTTGATAAGTTTGTGTTGAGTATTTAACTTATAAGGAGTATAATCATATCGATCATCGGTATTACTATTAGGTATCATTAGACATACGTCTGGTATAATAAAATCAATAGGTCTTAGGATTATGGAATCGTCGAAGTTTACGTAGGTTAGTGGGCGAATATTAAGTATGCTTTCAACTTCCGCTATTAGAGTTATAAACTCCTTTTCTTTTAGCAATTTCCTACCTATAACCTTTCTTAATGTTCCCTTTGTTAGGCCGATTATCCGTTCGTAAACTCCTCCGCTCCAAGGCGCCTTCGGAATTATATTTCTCCATTTTATTCCATGTTTAACTAGGAATTCGGTCATTTATGTTTCTTGTTCCATTAGGGTTTGAAAAACTAACTGAAATTGACCGACATTATCACTTAGAATTATTTCTCCGCTTCGTGCAACAAATCTTCTGAAAGTATTTAAAAAACTTTCTAAACTGTCTGCTAATTTTAAATGCACTGCTCTAGTTGCAAGACATGTAAATAAAGCAATCCATCTTTTTGCATCTCCTGTTTCTATTTTGACGGAAACAGGGCCCAAATAATCCAAGCCAACTCGTGAAAGTGTTCGTGATCGTGTTACCCGAAATGAAGGGTAATTATACATAGTTGGCAGTTTAAACGGCTTTGCTTTCCATCTTCTGTATCCTATGCATTTATTTAAAACTCTTTTAACTTCTATTCTTCCTTTTGGTATCCAAAATCTTTTTCTCAAACTTGAAATCATATGAGCTATATTCCAGCATGAAACAGTTCGTCGTATTGCCGTTGTATAAAGATTTCGGTTATACGATTATGTCGATTATCATTGGCGATCACTGGAAATAATCACAAAAGTAAAGCACTGATCATTGGCGATCACTGGAAATAATCACAAAAGTAAAGCACTGATCATTGGCGATCACTGGAAATAATCACAAAAGTAAAGCACTGATCATTGGCGATCACTGGAAATAATCACAAAAGTAAAGCACTGATCATTGGCGATCACTGGAAATAATCACAAAAGTAAAGCACTGATCATTGGCGATCACTGGAAATAATCACAAAAGTAAAGCACTGATCATTGGCGATCACTGGAAATAATCACAAAAGTAAAGCACTGATCATTGGCGATCACTGGAAATAATCACAAAAGTAAAGCACTGATCATTGGCGATCACTGGAAATAATCACAAAAGTAAAGCACTGATCATTGGCGATCACTGGAAATAATCACAAAAGTAAAGCACTGATCATTGGCGATCACTGGAAATAATCACAAAAGTAAAGCACTGATCATTGGCGATCACTGGAAATAATCGCAAAAGTAAAGCACTGATCATTGGCGATCACTGGAAATAATCACAAAAGTAAAGCACTGATCATTGGCGATCACTGGAAATAATCACAAAAGTAAAGCACTGATCATTGGCGATCACTGGAAATAATCACAAAAGTAAAGCACTGATCATTGGCGATCACTGGAAATAATCACAAAAGTAAAGCACTGATCATTGGCGATCACTGGAAATAATCGCAAAAGTAAAGCACTGATCATTGGCGATCACTGGAAATAATCACAAAAGTAAAGCACTGATCATTGGCGATCACTGGAAATAATCGCAAAAGTAAAGCACTGATCATTGGCGATCACTGGAAATAATCACAAAAGTAAAGCACTGATCATTGGCGATCACTGGAAATAATCACAAAAGTAAAGCACTGATCATTGGCGATCACTGGAAATAATCACAAAAGTAAAGCACTGATCATTGGCGATCACTGGAAATAATCGCAAAAGTAAAGCACTGATCATTGGCGATCACTGGAAATAATCACAAAAGTAAAGCACTGATCATTGGCGATCACTGGAAATAATCACAAAAGTAAAGCACTGATCATTGGCGATCACTGGAAATAATCACAAAAGTAAAGCACTGATCATTGGCGATCACTGGAAATAATCACAAAAGTAAAGCACTGATCATTGGCGATCACTGGAAATAATCGCAAAAGTAAAGCACTGATCATTGGCGATCACTGGAAATAATCACAAAAGTAAAGCACTGATCACTGGAGACATTATAACAGCTTTAATGCCATCAAACAGAAAATTCCTTTGTTCTACTTATCGTGAAATCACTCATAGGCAGTATTACTGAATGAGAGAGCTTTTGGTGTGGATTTTGATGTCATGCACGTTTCGGTGTTCCCTAACTTATACATTGATATTTTTGTATTTTACATATTTAAGATTTATTGACCTTTTAATTGTAGCTGTAAGCAAAACATTTATACAATAAAAATATTCTCATTTACTTAAAATTATTATTAAAGATCGCACAACAATCGATCGAAAACATTCGTTGTTTTTTTTTTTTTTTCCTCTCTTCCTTATTATTTATACCTAAATATTGGCTATTAGTGACAAAACAGTCTGTGAAATCCGTTCTATTTATTATCTACATTTCGTTTTTCGTTTTTTATAGATTATTTAGCTTTCAGTGTCATTAGTCCTCGTTTTTATTTCTGACCTCTTTCTTTTTTTTTTTTCTTTTTGTTTTTTTGTGATAGTTTTAACTGCAACAGGTGTGTTTTTACTCATGGTTATATGCTTAAAGTTTTTTACTCTGATTTCTTTGAAGATTTTGTTTTTGAAATTTCGAAATTTTTTTGCAATAACTTGATTTTTTTTTCGTAATTTTCTATTAAATTAGCTATTTTTTTTTTAAAACAATAACACTACTAATATCTTCCTTGATTAATAACTCACCTTTTCTTTCTTTTTATCACTGATTTCACTTTTGCATGTTTTTCTTGAAAAAAATTTTATTTTCATACCATTTTGCATTTGTTTATTATATTTGTCATTTTAAGAAATCTATTTCTTTTACATTTTTTGTAAACTTCGCTCATTTCATGCCTCTTGTTGACTAAATCTTAATTCTCTTTTCACTTTTTATTCCTTTCTTTTTTTAACTTTTTAAAGCATGTCTCCATATTAACGTTCAATTTTAATCATTTCTTTTTATTATTTGCATGTTTTTTTTTTTTTTTTTTTTTTTTTGTTACTGTTACTTACTTAGTTTAATTGTGTGTATTTTTGACGAAAATACTGATGGTTAGACATGAAGAACCACCACGCGAGCATTAGTGCAGATGGCTATAAAAACATGTATGTTAAGCAAAATTATAAAGTACCATACATTTTTCCAGTATTGAATGATTCAAATCTAAATGAATCTGAATGCAAGTAGCAGCAAGTGATACAAACAAAGGAAACCAAAATTGTATGACAGCATACTTTGAAGCATGAAAGCACGTCAAAAAAAAATTGATAAAATTATCTGTCATTTACCACTATTTGCCATCAATTGCTCTTTTTTCTACCGCTTTCTACTGCCACTTCCGAATTTTCTATGTCAATTTGAAACAAACAAAATTCATTTGTTGATGTGCAGAATATAGTTTGAAATTAAAAATTCGTCCCGTAAATAAGTTAGTAATTGTTACAGAATTATTGTGGTATATACGAAACACATACGCAACATACTGATAAATATTTAAACCTAACATATGCGCATGATATATACTTAAATATAATGCAGGATTATATATGTGTTATTATAACAAATCTCAATTTTATTCAGCAACAAATGTCACAGAATTTTACAACATTAAGTTTCATGTAAGATTTCAAAATCGATAAGTTGAGTAACATTGTCAGCCCTAACTGCCCAAAAAACTCGAATCAGAAGTGGTCGACCACTGCTGCAACAAAAGTATCATTAAGCAATGCAAATAAGAAGCGTCAACAGTTTACTTACATGGAATCGCAGTGAAGCAAAAACCATTTTATATTGACAATAACAAATTTCAATTTTATTCGACAACAACCGTTACAGAAACTTACTTCCATGGTTGCATTGTTTCATTGATATATCCTTCCCCTAAGAGTCCGTTTAGCACAATTCTATCAATCTGTGTGGTAGTATTCCACGATGAACTTTCAATAGAAATGATGCCATCTTGCATAACTTCAGTGTTTTCATCAAATTCATCCATGTTTTCTTGATTGGGAATTTCATCGTTTTCGCCCAAGTCGTCGTCAAATGCATAAAAAATTTTCGGTGAATTTCTGCTTTTTTTTAAATTTCTGCTTTTTAACTTTTTTTAAAATTAAAACCAAATTATAACAATATAAAAATAAAAATTACCGGAATCAATCTCAGAGGTGTTGCTAACAATATCAGTGTGCTGAGAACGTAGAGCAGTAATGGTGACGTAAAAAATGAGAATTGCGCACTTGTCATTGTTGCAGAGCTCTTATTGATTCCTTAATGAAAGAAGAAATTGTGATTGAAATATAAACGCCATTCTATATTTTAATGAGTGATAATTTAAACTGATAAACTTTGAAGTCGCTATTCTTAAATTAAATTATCATGAATCTCAGTATCTTGTTGATTTGAGTATTATTGATTTGCAAAAATGAAATAATTTTACGAAATGCACATTAATATACACTGAATTCGAGATTAGTTTCGTCTCACTTTTATCTGAATAAACTTTATTCTATGCAAATAGTTCATAATCCTAAAAAAAAAATTATTTGTTGAACTTTTGCTAAATCTTTACAAATGAAAGAAGAGATTGTGACAACATATATTTTAATGAGTGATAATTTAAACTGATAAACTCTGACGTTTCTGTTTTTCAGTCTAACAGCAAAGCACTGATAAATTATATTTTATGAATTCCATTACCACACCATCAGTTGTTTTGTAGAAAAATACTTACTAAATATGCAGTGAATTTAAAATCAATTTCGTTCCTCTTTTTAGCTAACTAATCCTTATTTTGTCTAAATATGCTATAATTAAAAAAAATATGCTAGAAATAAAAATCAAATAATTTCGAGAATAAATGCAGAACTTCCCATTCCTAAATTCTTTTTTAAATTGTTTAAGAATTCAAGCGAAAAGGTTACGAGATTCTGAAAGCGATAAAAAATGAATTTGAAAATTTTTTGACAAAAAACTCTACTTATCAGTTAATTTATATGAAATTATGCAGGTTATCACCAGAATTCATTTAAAAATTTTATCATGTTCTGAATAGAATAGAAGGATTTACATGTCAAACAATGATTCCATGTTTCAATAGAGACAATTCAACAAAAAAATAACAATAATTTTTTTTATTTCCACTAAAGATTACAATAGACAAAAATTCATGGCAACTTTGCTGTTTAAAAAAAAAAAAAAAAAAAATACATGTCTCCCTTACTAGAAGGGAATGCATAGAGAAGTATATAAATGTTGGTATGTATATAAAAGGTAACTTAGATTTGATATATGTGCCAAGTATTTTTGGAAAATAGCCGAAAATATTTGGTTAAAAAGCACTTTAATTGGATATTACATCGACTTGAAATGATCCGCTTTCTCAGTTATTTGAATGATTGCAAAATGGAAATTGAAATCAATCGTACTGAAGCAAAAACCATTTTATGTTGAGAATATTGACAATAACAAATTTCAGTTTTATTCAACAAACGTCACAGAATTATCACAAGATTTCAAGGCCGACAATTTCACCACTGTTGTAAGCTTCAGTACCCCAAATAAATCTAACCAGAAGTGGTATACCACTACTGCAACAAAAGTTTTTATTTAAACGGTGCAAACAAAACAGCGTCAAAGTTTACTTGCATGAAAATATTGAAGGTAAACTTACTTCCATGGTAGCATTGTTTCATTGATATATCCTTCCTCCAAAAGTCCGTCTAGCACAGTTCTTTCATCATCTGTGGCATTAATCCATGATGAACTTTCAATAGAAATAATATCTTGTTGCATAAATTCAATGTTTTCATCAAATCCACCCACGTTTTCTTGATTGGGAATTTCATCGTTTTCGCCCAATTCGTCGTCAGATGCATAAAAAATTTTCGGTGAATTTCTGCTTTTTTTAAAATTTTTTCATTTAAAACCAAATTATAACAATATAAAAATAAAAATTACCGGAATCAATCTCTGAGGTGTTGCTAATAATATGAATGTGCTAAGAACGTAGAGCAGTAATGGTGACGTAAAAAATGAGAATTGCGCACTTGTCATTGTTGCAGAGCTCTTATTGATTCCTTAATGAAAGAAGAAATTGTGATTGAAATATAAACGCGATTCTATATTTTAATGAGTGATAATTTAAACTGATAAACTTTGAAGTCGCTATTCTTAAATTAAATTATCATGAATCTCAGTATCTTGTTGATTTGAGTATTATTGATTTGCAAAAATGAAATAATTTTACGAAATGCACATTAATATACACTGAATTCGAGATTAGTTTCGTCTCACTTTTATCTGAATAAACTTTATTCTATGCAAATAGTTCATAATCCTAAAAAAAAAAATTTTTTGTTAAACTTTTGCTAAATCTATACAAAAGCAATGACTTTCGGTAGGTCTACATTATGATAATTTTTGCCGCGGCAAGAGAACAATTAGACATATCAAAAAGTTTGAAATTTCACTTGAGCTATCTTATTGATAAACGTTAAACTTAAACTTGTGACGTGACGTATCCTTCACTGGATGACTGCTAAATACTTAAAGTACCATTTCATAAAAAATTTATCTGTGATTTATCCATTTATCTTAATCGAATTCTTTGTATAAATTTCGAAATATATTGGTAATTTTTCTCCATTAAGCCCCGTTTGTTTCCTTTTTAATTATCATTAATTTAATTAGCACCGCTCCGATTATAGGCAAAGTATTTCGATGCCGAATGATTTTAAAGGTCTCCTCAATGAAAGTGAGAAATAATATTATCTTCGGTAGTAAATTAGCATTCCCTTAGAAAATCAATTCAAATAGAAATACAGTTATGCAAACTTCCAAAATAAATGGTGAATTAATTTGAAAATTTTTTAAAGCATACTTAATCAGATAATTTCAATGAAAATTCGAGTAACATATTAAGTCGGGGAACAAAATTACGGGATAATCTTTGAAATCAAAAACACATAACAATCAAAACTTGCATTACTAATTTTCCTAAAATCATCAGTCTTTTTTACTAGATTGGAAATTTACCAGCACTAATCATCAGAAAAAATTTTTTTTCATTCTTTTTTCTTCATAGAGTAAAGATTATTTAGCTTAAATAAAAGGCGAAATTGATTGTAAATTCACCATATATTTGCTTTGTATTTCGTAAATTTATTTCATTATTTCATTTTTACTTTTGTAAAACAATATTAATCAAAATATTGAGTGAATTTAGCAGAATATTAACTAAACTTCAATGTCTATCAAACTTAGATTTTATTAATTTTATATCTTAACTTATATATATTCTTGCAATTTCTTTTTTTCATTTTAAAGCATTAATAAACGTTCCATAACGATGAAAAGCGCTCGAGTTCTATTTTTTGCGCCATCGCTACCGTTTTGCATTCTCAGCACATTCACATTATTAGCAACATCACAGAAATTACTTCGGGTATTTTTTTATGAATTCATATTTTTATAAACATTGAATGAGAACTAAAAGACGGACAGTTACAAGTTTTTAACAATTTTTGTGACAAAAAAAAAAAAAGGAATTCATGCAAGATTTCTTAGGACATTGGCATTTACGATTTCTATGACTTAGACATTAACAATGACTTAGACGACAACAAATATTTTGACGTTGACATAAATAGTGACATAGTTGGAATTAACGATTATATTAGCGATAACATCAGCTACAACGATGACATGCATCTCAATAGCTCGGTAATTATTGTCAATTTACATTAATTTTCATGAATTTATTTGTTTATCTTTCAAAGAATGTTTTGGATTGACAATTTCCCGGGTTGTCAAGATCGTCCTTTGGTAAATTCTAATTAATGGTGAGTACCTCGACCATATGAATTATTTGTATTATTTGCTTAGTACTACCTAATAATTATTCCGTTGCAGAAGCGATTAATCTCTTATGATTAGACTTATTTGAAGAACTATGGTTAACTGAAGAAGTTTAATTCCATTGATAGATTGTTTAAGAAATTTTAGCTGTTTATGTGTGTTAATTGCATAAAAGTGATTTTTATCGTTGAATATAATTGATTGCATTGTTTATTATTTATAGTTTCATCCACATTTTTTGTCAGTAAATAAACTGGAATGAATTCGATAAGCTATCAAATTAATTAAATTCCTTTTAGTAATCTCTATTACTTGATCGTACACACTTAGTGCCAACACATTCTCCAAACTATAAATTTAAAAGAAATGTAGAGTTGAAAGAAAACACAAATTTATTAGCACCAGACTTAATAGCATAAGACTATTTATGATTCAGTGTTATTTTATACGCTAAAGGAATTCAAAAATTTTGATGATGTTAAGTAAAAGGAATAGCAAATTTAGCTCCAATGTTTTATCTGATGAATTAATTATTTGATAATTTCAACCGAAATAATCAAAGTGAAATTAATGAATTTATGATATCTATAGATGGAATGCCAATAAAATATGAAATTTCATTATGAATTATATAAGCTTGTATGCACATCAAAAATTATGACTTAAAAAATAATAGAAGGAACAAATAAGAGAAAATAATAGATGTTGAAGTAAATTAAGAATATAGGAATAAAGGAGAGAGAAAGGGAATCATTCTGGAGGAAAAAAAAAAACTTTTATAGTAAGATTTTATGACCTCTTTGATGCAAATTTTCCTATTAGTGTATATAAATGAGTACCAGTGATATTTGCTAAATTAAAGCATTTTTAAAGTATGTTAATGAATTTAGGATGGAATAGAAAATTTGAATATTTTGTATTCTTTTTCGAATTAATTATATATAATAAATGGAAATAGAAATATTTCATCTTCATTTATCTGATTTACAATAATTCGAATAGCAAAATTAGCAAAAGCCAACAAATTTTTGCATGGAACTGTGCAAAGTGTCCAGTTAAAAAAGAATTTCCACGACAATCATTGCAATTTCGTGAATTAAATACAGTTTAAATATATATAATATATGCAATAACTATTGTAATAGAATAATAAAAAAAAACTGGAACTGATATTTGAGACAGCTTTCGAAATTACAGGTTGAATTACTGTCCCAGTATTTTTCCTAGCTCTGAATTGTATTTATTATAGCATTTAGTATTCAAACTGGAAAATGTGAAAATTGCATTAGCAATCAACTGGCTTACGGTATAAATTGAGAATGACAATTTTATTAAATTTCCTCATTTAAATAACACAGTATTATTCGCCTCGAACATAACAATTCATTAATATATTTATTGGCAGAGTTTCAATGCACAAATTCTAGATATAAATCTTCAAGAAAATTTCTAAATCATCTGAAACTCATAAATTGAAAAAATATTACACTTGGTGAGTCTAAAAAAAATTCTGAATTATTGGAATAATCAATAAAAAAAAAAAATTGACGAAACAAACAATTCATAGTTCATTATCGATAGTTTCAATCACAACCGGAAAACATCACTGAAATTAAGCCATAATCACAATTTCAGCAGTTCCAGTATTTGGCACTGAATCCTCGCAATAAATTTTTAATTGAAAGATCCAAAAATGGAACAAAAATTCATTCGTTATCTTTAAATATACTTTGGACTGATTTTAATACAATTCAGTTATAACTGGTTTAATCTTATTCATAAAGGATAAATGATTTTTGAAAGATCAACGCAAATCTGTGAAAAATTTCCAGAACTGAAATATGACTTCTCAAATTTCTTTTTAATTAAAATATTCAATCTTAATCAATTAAGAAATCATCCCTTACTCTTCTAGCCATCTTATAGTTGATAAAAATTTCCACCTTATTTCTAAAGATTTAATGGACGAAAGAAAAGAATCCACTAAATGATCAACACGAATTCAAAGAAAGAATTGTAACAGAAGGTCAAACGATACAAAAAAAACCGAGAAGTCATAACAAAAGAATCTGACTATTTTTTCACTTCCCTCTCCGAATTTATAGCTATCTTTGGTATTTCTCACCACACGGATAACAAATATAATCTAACATGAAATGCTTATATCTTCTTTCTTTTATTCGGATACTGTATTGATTCCAAGCTATTCTCCCACAATAATTCCACAAGCTATTCTCCGACAATGGACAGTGATCGCACTATCTACTTTTTTTGTATTTCATTTTTTTGATGCTATCGTTTTATCATTTTAATGAATTCAATGTTATCATTTTATTGTTCTCTTTTAGATAAGTAAGAAATTTCACCACAGAGATTGTGATTATTTCGTGTTTTTTCCTTTATTCACTTCATAATATCATATTATAACTTTTGCTCATCAATTCTTCGGCATAGTTTTTTGCACAAAAAAAGATGAATGTTTTTTGACCACTAATGAATCTGACCACTCGCTTTCAGTTCGTTATTTGATCAAATTTATGAAGTAAAATTATAATTTTCTTAGTTATAGCTTGGATTATGTTGAAAGTTTTGAACAACTTAATTTTACTTCATCTTTTGTCCCTGTGTGTCAAGATGAATTTCAAATTATTTGATGTTTAAAAAAAAAAAAAAAAACAGCTGTTTCATGCTTTTATGATTTTATTTCAGAAAATTTTTTATTCCATAATAGTGTCATAGTGTCAACTGTGTGGTGTTGATGAAGCTAAAAAATGTAATTATTTGTATGTAGGAATATTAGAAATAAGATCAAATAGCAGATAGATAATTTTAAAGGGTTTAGTAAGCTGAAAGAGTAAAAATATGTGTAAAACAGATAGGCTTAAATAAATAGGATTACCAACCATGAGATGATACGATGAATTGCAAGTAACACTGATTGAAAAGTTATCAGCAACCGACTTGGAATGGAATTCAGCATCAGAAGAAGTCATCGAAAGATTTGAAATGAGTGTTTCAGCGGTGGGATTTTAATTTCGGCAGATTTCAACAGATTCCATTCGGCAGCTATTGATAGATCTGATTGGACACATCCAACAATTTGATAACTCAACAACACGAGCTTCAATTCATCAAATTCCACAAAGGATCGGTAGCAGTGTGAAAGTAGAAGCAACAATAGTAGAAAGAAAATACGGATAATTTAATGAAGGTTCAATGAAATTGATATGCTTTAATATTTATTTTGTGTTCATTTCATTCCTATTATTGTGTAACCATGATATTATACGCTATCATATAAAATCAATAAAGTTATTGTCGATATAGAGATTTATGACAAATGGTGGAAACATTAAATCCTTACCCGACATAAGGATAAAGCCAAAATCTTTTTTTTTTTTTTTTAAAAAAAAAAAAGGAAAAGTAAAACTGTTTCATTTTTCACACAAACCAGATTCTTCTAAACACTTCTCGGTATCACAATCGCTATCCGTTTTGCATGGTTCGCCAAGCTCATATATCAGATGTCTTAGCCAATTTCCACTGAAAACAATGAAGTCCTTCTGATTAATTGTATATGATTAAAACAGATAGGAAATTGTTTAACTTTCTTGAAATGCTAGTCTGAATTATGGAATACTTTAAGCGATTAGTGAAGAGCATTTCGTTTTTTATCATTAAGGCCTACCGCGGTGAATAATGGCAAATAACTATGAGTGAACGACCACCTTCGCATTTTGTAGCAATACCGCAACCAATTTCATGCGTATTACCCCAAGCCATCTGAAACTGGAACAGGAATTTCCTTAATTGTAAAGGTCATCTGATCTAATTTATTTGAAAAAGAAGATCGATTTGTTCCACTTTATTCTTCAAAGCTCAACAAATGTTTTATTCTAACAAATGACTTATCATGTTTCTTACGATGAGAATAAAGAAAAGATGGACGGAAAGGATGTTGAATGATTGACTGAACTGTTGTAAGCTTTTGAATGCTTCGAAATCTCAGAAAATTATGCTTATAAAAGATAACAACCTACTTATTATTTCCTACTAGAAAAAAAAACGATGCAAAGAGGTTAGAAAGAGGCATTATTCTTTTCACAAACACAAAGAAAAGTATCAATGGTTTGCTTATTATGAGATATTAAAAAAACTGCCGTGTTTTCTAAATTTTCTTAGTTTGCGTAGGTATCATTTGAACATCGAATAAGATTCTTTAAAAAGTTAAAATGTCATCAAAAAAGCCGAAAAAATGTAACTCAGTTATTTTCACACGAAATTTTGTTTACCTGCGTAAAATGTGAAACACCTTGACTGTAAACTTCCGGAGTCAAAATGTTCGAAGGGTTATCAGTGTACAGTTGCGGAAGTTCTGACCACCAGCTTTTGCCTGCATCCGTACCAGCAATATCTCTAAACTCTGAAAACAAGATTTTCATTAATTCATTTCTGTGAAAGCATACCATTATTACTTTTTGATTCCAAATATTCCACTTATCAGACTATCAGATTTTACCATTTCAATTATTACTTGTCAGATTTTCATGCACACTGAAAAGAGTTTCTGAATTTTATATGCATAAATATATATATGTAAATGTACTTTCAACGTTTGCTGATGACCAATAAGCATAGAGATTTTCACCAATTCCCTCTCTCTGCTTTCTCGAAGAGTGTCTAAAGATGCACTGGTCTGCCCACTTTTGCGCAGAAATTTCTAGCTGACAACTCCATGTCTGAACAATTGATAAGTAATAATTAGAACTAATAAGTATCAGCATTAAGTAATTCGATAATTAATACAATAACAAAAGGAAGATGGGAACTTTTGGCAGATTTCAAAAACTTTTAATATATCTTTACCATTTGTAACATATTTTTGCCTCGTGGCATGAATATGTTATCTTTATTTTTAAGTTTTCCATGAATCAGTAATGAACGAAATTCATTGTGCTGATTAACGATGTCTATACGTTGCTGTGGTGTTAGTCGACCTCCTGGACATTCAAAACCTGCCACAACTGCAACAACTTAACTGATTTATCACTTTTCGAAATCATGATGTTAACAGTTTCTTAGCAGAATGTGATACGCTTTCAGACATTCAGAATTTATGACTTAGAATGTATCATATGAAATAAAATTCTCATTCAACATACCAGTGATAAATGCGGGAAACATGACGAAAAATGGCATTTTGCCGGATTTTCTGGCAGAATGTACACTGTTAGCTTCAAAAATATATTTGATAACAGAGGAGCCGTTTCTTAAATATTCGAGAAAACTGAAACTTTATCTTTACTGATTATCTTTTATGCAGTTTCTGGAATTTTAAACACTTTCATATAAACCGAATTATTATTTCAGAAAATTGCAGAAATACCAAGTGCAATTCATTTTTTTTTCTCTTCACTTTCCCTTTTGTTTTTATTTTATCCATTTTTTTTTGCCGCAAAGGTAAGCTAATGAACTAATAATAATGATAATCATGCACTTCCACATTCAAAACTGAAATTCAACAAAATTCTCTGATGAGAGAAAATCTTAATGATAAGATCATTTTGCATTAAACTTTATGAAAGTTCTGCTTTGAAATCTGTTACATTTAGCCTTATCTACTGAATTTTATTCTTTGAAAATAATGCTTAAATTCAATGAATTGTCTTAATGACTGTCAATGAAATGTTAGCCTTAATTAATCACAATTTGCAGCATTTAAACCGTATTTTCAATATTGTCCTCTTTTTTCTTTCTAATATTTATCTATTAAAGTATTTCCAGAAATTTGTTTAAAAAGTGTTGTTAAATATTGCATCAAATTTTTTCCGATTAATGCATTTATTATGATTTTTATGGAAAGTTTATTTTCTTCTAAAATACCAGTTGGCATATATTGTAATCAAAAATTTCCATGCTATTATTAGCATTTTCAAATTTTGCTTTTAATAACACGCATCAGTAAGTTATTTCAAATTTAGCATACCATTTCTTAGAATAATTATTTAACTTAAATCATTTAATAATTGAAGGAAACACTATTAATCATGTAAAATGTTAAGGAAATAAGATAAATACTAAGTTAATAATCAACACCAATGATGTAAACACTGAGAATTACGTAGATATTAAACGTTACTTACAAAGTAAAAAAAAATTTGCAATATATAACACGATGAAATGATATATTAATACCAATGATCAATAAAATTTTTACTTTATCGATTTCGACAATAGTTATAAAACTATTATATAATACTAATATATAATATGAATTTAACGGGTATCGAAGAATGAGTGTTGTTCGATTTCAGAGAGTGCTTGAATAACAGCTATTACATTCGAGGAAAGCTACAGAGGCGCAACTTCTAATCTTAGAATGAAAAAATATTTGAAAAAAGAAAACGTAACGAGATCATATCATCTGAGGCAAGTTTATCAGAATGAGTACAATTTGAACTCCTAAAATCTATGAAAAGGGTTGTTAAATGTGTGCATCGTCATTGTTGCGATGACAAAGTCTATTCCAATCATTAGAATTAAGCTTATAAAACTAGGCATGATTAATTGAACTTAATTAATTATTAATTAATTAATTAATTCCTTGATTAATTGAACATAGTAGTTAACAAGTTTACAATGAAAAAAAGTAATAAAGCATTCCAAAAATGAAACTGAAAAAAAAATACTGAAGAGATCAACTTAGTAATGCTAACTAATTTAGAATCTATGAGCTGTTTAATATGAACATTTAGGAAATATTTCGTCTTTGATTTTTAAACCAAAAAACGCAATGAACTGAGATTCATTTTTTTTTTCTGCTATTAAAGTGAAATATTCTTAAACATTTTTTCTGTCGGTCATTAGACTATTGTTTGCTACTGAACTTGTTATTCTGCAAATTGGATTAGCATTTCAAGAAACTATGCTACCATCTTGAACAATCTTTCTTTATTTCTACCGTATTGAATTAATCAGAAATCAAACTTATTCAATTTCATTTATAGAGCAAATCTTTTATGAAAATATTCTGAAAAAGTTGATATATAAGCTTGGCCACCATGCAGATCGAATAGCTATTCCAATACCAAGAAGTGCGGTTTTTGTCTTTTACTTTTCTTAATTTTGGCTTTGTACCATATAAATCAGAATTATTAAAAACATATTTGTTGTAGGCATTCTTTTTTATATTACAGGATAAAAAAGTTTCTCGAAATCTTCGCTGGAATAAAATTTCTCTCTGATAAAAGCATGAAACAATTGTTTTCTTCAACATCAAATAATTGGAACTAATCCTAATGCATTGGAACAAAAGATGAAGCAAAATTTAGTTGTTCAAAACTATCGATAACAATCTAAGAAATAATCAAGAATTATGATTTCACTTTACAAATTTCACCAAGCAACAAATTTGTACAAACGATCAAATTAATTCCTTCTTCGTAGCACTCATTTTCTCCTCTTTTTTCTTATGAATCAAGGAGCAAAAGTTAACAGATATTATGTAGTATATAACGGAAAAAATCAAAAATACAAAATAATCGCAATGAATTTCATCTATTTAGAATAGATGATAAAATGATGAAACTAAATTAATTCATCTTTATGCTCAGAATTAAAATAAGAAAGGAGGAGAAATCAGTAAACACGACCATTCTCTATTAAATCACTGTGACAGAATAGCTTAGGATCAATACAGTATTTTCGAATGAAAGGAAGAAAGTAGAGACATTTTATGTTTATGTTAAGTTATTTTTGTTATCCATTTGATGAGAAATACCAAAGATAGCTATAAATTCAGAGAGAGAAATGAAGAAATAGCTAGATTCTCTGTTATGACTTCTGTTTTTCCTTTTCCTTTGCACTTTTCATGTTTTATTGCAGTGCTTTCTTTTATCCATAAAAGTTATCTCCTTTCTAACTGATAGTATACTTTTGTTAGAAATAGGTTTTGCTAAGGTAAATTACCACTTTTGACTATAGCTTAGATATTATTTAGAACTTATACAGTATTATCATTAAATTATTAATAGAAATTATAGCTGAAACTTTTTCTTTGCCATTTTATATATATAACAGAAATATTTCATTTGTAATTACTAATTAACACTTATGTAGAGTGAATTTTTTGTGTCATATAATATTGCGCACATTGGAAATGATTCCAACTTGTTTGCTTCAAAATTGTATAAAAAATTGCATTAAACTGAAATAGCACGGAAAAGATTTCTAGGATATTATTTTTGACAAAATTGACATTAGTTAACAGCAATGTAATATCCTTAATTTGATTTAACTCGTATTCACGTTGCCATTAAAAATTTAATTTAAATTTGTACATTTATAGCTCCGTCTCGACTGAATTTGATTTGCTACATTGTGTTTTGGATTTTTTAAAGCATTATGCACGAGAATAATTTGGCAATAATAATACATACAATGAGCGAAAATTTTAGAAATAAGTCATTTTAAGTCAGTTTTATTTTGTAATTCCAAATATAGTTTTTTTTAATTTTTTTTTTCTCAATAGGATATTCTTCTCCATATTTCTTATTTTATTTTTTTTTTAATGTTTTTTTTTATTTATTTTTCCTTTTTGGGTGCCTTTTTTGGATCATTTGTCAAAATTTAGCAACTTGATACAAATTTTCAATCAATAAAGAAATAAAAAGTAAACGGACTTATGCAGTCAGCAAAGAAATTTCATGTTTCGAACTCTAAAACACAAACGAATTTTTATTGCTATGAGTGAATCACTTTAATAACGAAAAAATATTCCTTACCTTATTTTCCACTGCTGAATGATAAAAATCAGTATTTCATTCTGAAATTTGTTAATAATAATGAAAATTAAAAATATGAAATATATAAAATTATATATATGTATGTAAATTAAGCATATATATTACCTGCAAAAAAATCAGTAACATTTTAAGTTTTCTGAAGGATAAATCGCCCAATGGAAAATTTGAAGTCATCTTAAGTATTATTAAGCCTTAACATTAATATCTCTTAAGACAAAGAAATAAATTCAAAAGTAAACACTTCCATACCTTAAATTGAATTGGAAATTCACTGATAAATCGTTCAATTGATTTTTGTTCGTTTTCTCATATTGCAATTTCGTTACTTGCGTTGATCGTTTTGATGCTACAAAAGAAATAAAAGACTGATCGCAAAAAACGGAACTGTTATTTTAATATCGTTATCAGTTATCATTTATTCGCCACGGTGTGAAAATAATTGAAAAAAAATTGCACAGAAAATTTTCTTTTTAAAATCAGACAGAATTTTAGGATAAAGAAGGCAAAGCATATAAAAGCATTTTATCTTTTTGTGAGAGCAATTTAATGCATCAATTTTTGCTTAGAGAAATTTATTAATTCGTTTTTTTTAAAAAGACAAATTATTAAGTTCTTTTTTTTTCCTGATGTTTCACGCTATTTCAATTCATTCAATTTTTTATGATTTCAATTCGTTTTTTATGTTCTCATCATCTTTTAATGATTCCTTGCTGCTTTCATAATTTAGTGCCGTTTTTATAATTTCGTTCTTTTTAAAGATTCTATGCTGTTTTTTTAATTTATTCTTTTTTTTATAATTTTGTGTTTTTTTTTTTTTTTTTCTTATGATTCCACGTTGCTTTCATGATTTTGTCCATACATTATGATTCTTCTTTTCGTGATATTTTTTATTTGTTATATCTTTTATTATGTGTATTGTGACATCAATTACTGATCGATGTCAATTAGATGTTTCTTGTTATAAGATGCAGATCTAGAGCTAAACTGAAATTCGGTGTAACTGTAAAGTCACCATCAATTGCAAAATCGATTTCAGCTGTAGATTTGTCAACAATTATGGTAATTTGTGTTTTTTCAAAAAATCCAAATATCTGATAAACAGTTCAAATTCATTGATTTAATTATGATTTTTGCTTTCCATATTTTTCATATAATTAAACTCTTATTTAAGGTATTTCCAATTACAAATTTGTTGAAGTTATTCGGCTGATCACTTTATATAATGAATTAATATGCAACAATTATATGTGTATAATAAAATATTAAAGATTCGCATTCTTTGCCCCCCTCTTACCTGCCCCGTCTCACCCTACCCTTCCTCTTACCTTGCCCTCCCTCTTTCCCACCCATTCTTCGGTAAAGGAAGTATTACCTAATTTTCTCCTAAAATCGTTTTGTCACTTATTTTTATTCTACTGCATTCATAACTGGTATAAAGCATTTTTATAATTTCAAAAAGCATTAAAGAAGTAACCTGTAACATTAAAATATTCAACATCAAATTTTACCACAGTGAAATAGTGATATCAATCATATAAGGAGGAAATGTTGAACGAGAAATCATCAAAGGAAGTAATATTCCAACTGAAGTGTAAACATTTCTTATTCTTTATCAAGCAATATTATATCATATCAAGTGATATTTATGCAAATTATCGAAGATAGAACTTTAATTGTGATCTGCTAATAACGAGAATTCGTGTAAACTGAGCTAAATGACTCTTTCAGTGTTACAAAAGAAAGAAGGAAAACAGTAAAATGGGGCGATTCATTTGCTGAGCAAATAAGACTAAACTTTGGATTCAGAATTATCACTTAGGCAATTAATTTTATTCTTTTTAATTACATCCAAACATAAAATTAAAACCTATATTTTGTAATAATTTATTCTGCAATCTTCTTAGCAAATGCAATTAAATGACATGAAAATTTTTAAATAATTTATTTTATGATACAGTTTTTAAATGAAAGATTACATTTGATCTTTTTGTAAAGGGAAGGAAAATTACTTGCTCAAATAATTGATTATTGAATAATTTCTTGCTTATTAATCATTCAACTGCCTTTCATATTTTCAAATAAATAAAAGTTTCTCTTTATTTTTATATTTCTAAAAGACAGCATCAGATCATATGTCTCCTTCATTCAGAGAAAAGAAGTAACATTGAATTTGAAATCATTGATAAATGCAAATTTCATTTAAGTGGAAATGTTCATTGTGTTATTCATGTAAACAAAAAGAATGAAACAGCAAAGTTAGCTAGCAGAAAGAGGAAAAAGAAAAGAGAAGGAATTTGTGTCAGTTTAAAAATCGAAGAGAATTGAAGTTATTCAATTCAAATTAAATCAAAAACTCCAAAAAATTACTGTAATAATCTTTTCTGTAAATTTTTTTTTTTTTTTTTGTAACATTGCTTTCGCTCTTTTTTATTTAAAATATTATTTTGCTTAAAACATTACTTGATTTTATAATGAACCATGCAATTTTTCTTTTTCCATTTGTAAATGAACTTATAATTTATTTTCCTGATTTTGTCAGTTAATATTTACATGGTTTATAATGTTTCTTTCGTGTATTCCTCACTAAAACTGTTTCCTTTGCTTTTCCAATTTAGAATATAGTTAGTTATCTTTTAAAATGAAATAAATCTAAAATAATAGACAGTGTATGCTCCTATTTTGATGAAATAATTAAAAAAGACAATGATTTCATATTTATTTAAAGCACAAATAAACACACAAAAAAAAATTTTTTTTTAATGCAATATTAATTAATTTATTTGCATTGTTGCCTGGATACCATGCATAATTCGGGTCTTTTACTTTCGAATACTTTTAAGATTTTTTAGAACTACAAATGTTAACTATTCAGGAAATTATTGGAAATAATTCAAAACAAGTTATTTAATTTTACATTTATTTCTAATTAGAAAAAAAAAAAAACACAGTAAAATAATTTATTACACAATGATCATTTTATTCCATCCATTTCATATTCACACTTAATTAATTATGATTACATTTTTTTTTTCCATATGACTGATTCATCCGACATTCTGCTAAAATGTTAATTAAGGATGTCAAATCAAATGATTATTCTCGAAACAGCATGTTGCATTACAAATTAATTTATATGATAATTAAAATTGAATGGGAATGAAAATAATTGAAAAAAAGGGCATGGAAAATCATTGAATACACATATCAAAATATATTATTAAAATCGAAGTATGAAAAAATTCGGATAGGATGGCAATTTTTGACTATGATATATATTGACTTTCATTTTAAATGAAAGTAGACTTTTTCACTGAAATCGATAAGAACTGGATTAATCAGATTTTTAATTTGATACATTTTTCTATATCGAATTTTAACTTCACAAATAATTTCTGAAAATAATTAGAACAATGAAAACACTTCAACAGATAAGTGCTTGAAAGAAAAATAAAGACGATAATATTAACGAATTGGTTTAATTACTAGAAATCATCAGTTTCCATAAAAATACGAACAGTGACAATCAATTAAACAGAATTGACTGAATTAATGAAAAATTGAGAAAAATTAAGCATCCCTCTGAAATGAATAAAATCTAGCAGATAAGACCAAATGTACAACTATATTCATTACAGATTACAACCGGATCTTCGTAAAGATGTTTTATGCAAATTAATTAAATCAAGGAAAATTTTATCATACAAAAATTTTTGTTTCTTTATATTAAATTTCCGTTTCAGTTTAGGTTGCAGAATCTTGATTTTTTATTTTTTTTATCTATCATTAGTTTACTTTTGAGATAAAATAAAAGAAATAAATAAATGAATAAAGTAAAATAAACACAAAAAGGAAACTAAAAAAAGAAAAATATTGAAGCTGATATTTGTACAGCCGTTTCAAACAATAATTTGATTTATAGAAAAATAAAAAATATTTGAACAGCTGGTGAAAAACAAACGATAGAAGTTCCATGTTGTCTTCAAATACGTATTCCAGAAACTGCATAAAAGGTAATCGGTAACGATAAAATTCAGTCATCTCGTGTACTTACTAGACGACATCTTACTGTTATCAAATATATTTTCAAAGCTAACAGTATACATTCCACCAAAAAACTCGGCAAAATGTTATTTTTCGTTATATTTTCCATCACGATTGCTGGTATGTTAAATGATAATTTTATTTCATATGATACATTCTAAGTCATAAATTCTGAATGTCTGAAAGCGTAGTATTATCACAGAAACTGTTAACATCATGATTTCGAAAAGTTATAAATCAGTTAAGTTGTTGCAGTTGTGGCAGGTTTTGAATGTCCAGGAGGTCGACTAACACCACAGCAACGTAAAGATATCGTTCGTCAGAACAATAAATTTCGTTCATTACTAATTCATGGAAAACTTAAAAATAGGAATGGTACATATATGCCACGCGGCAAGAATATGTTGCTACTGGTAAAGATATATTGAAAAATTTTTGAAATTTACTGAAAGTGTTCATCATCCCTTTTCTGTTGTAGTAATTACTTAATGCTGATATTTATTAGTCGCTAATTATTACCTTGTCGTTGTTCAGAAGTGGAGTTGTCAGTTAGAAAATTCTGCGCAAAGATGGGCAAATCAATGCGTCTTTGGGCACTCTCCGAGAAATCAAAGACAAGGAATCGGTGAAAATGTCTATGCCTACTGGTCATCAGAAAGCGTCGAAAGTATATTTACAAGCATTTATGTCATGTGAAATTCAGAAACTTCTTTCAGCGCGTATGAAAATTTGATAAATGAAATATTAGGAATTAAAAAATAATCATAATACGAGTTTTCAGCAAAAACCATTTGAAATCTCGTTTCCAGAGCTTAGAAATACCGCTGGTACGGAAGCCGGCAAAAGTTGGTGGTCAGAACTTCCGAAACTGTACAAACAGAATCCTTCGAACAATCTGACTGATGATGTTGCCAGACAAGGTGTTTTACATTTCACACAGGTAAGTGAAATTTTATAAATATGAGAATGATGCATTACATTTTTTCGATATTTTCCATGATGTTTTAATTTTTTAAAGTTCTCATTCGAGTCTCAAATGATACCTGATTAAGAAACTAAGAAAATTTCGAAAACACTGAGCAGTTTCTTTTATATCTCATAATAAGCAAACCACTTGTTTACATCGATATAATAGGTAGGCTGTTATATAAGCATAGTTTTCTGAGATTTCGAAGCATTCGAAAGCTTACAACAGTTCAGTCAATCATTCAACATCCTTTCCGTCCATCTTTTCTTTATTCTCATCGTAAGAAACATGATAAGTCATTTGTTAGAATAAAACATTTGTTGAGCTTTGAAGAATAAAGTGGAACAAATCGATCTTCTTTTTCAAATAAATTAGATCAGATGACCTTTACAATTAAGGAAGTTCCTATAAATTTTATTTGAACATTTATTTTCAGATGGCCTGGGGTAAAACGCATAAAATTGGTTGTGGTATAGCAACAAACTGCGATGGTGGTCGCACACTCATAGCTATTTGCCATTATTCACCCGCGTAAGCCTTAATATTATTATCAACTCAAAATATTCCTAGCGAATTTGTTGTTTTGAATATTGTGATTGCCGTTTTCAAGAAACTGTCCATCTTGAATAATTGAACATTTTTCATTAATCACAATTTAATTTCGCTCATAGACATTTTCTAATTTAATTCACAGAGCTAAGTTTCAGTGGAAATATGCTAAAAGAACTGATATATGAGCTTGGCGAACCATGCAAAACGGATAGCGATTGTAACACAAAGAAATGTGCCAAAAAATCTGGATTGTGTAGAAAATGAAAGAGAGTTTAAAGTTTCACTTTTTGCACTCTTAATTTTGGTTTTATATTATAAAACTGAGAATTATTACAAACATATTTATTGGCTATTATAAGATAAAAAAGTTCCTTGAAATTCTTCTCAAATAAAATTTCTCTCTGATAAAAGCATGAAACAATTGTTTTTTTCAACATCAAATAATTGAACCTAATCCTAACGAGTTGGAATAAAGGATGAAGCATAATTTAGTTGTTCAAAACTATCAACATAACTCAAGATATAATCAGGAATCACAATTTCACTTTATTAATTTTTCATCAAGCAAGGAACTGAAACAAATGATTAAATTAATCAATTCTTTCTTCATCGCACTCATTTTCTCTTTTTTTCTATGTGAAAAACTATGCCGAAGAATTAATGAGCAAAAGTTATAATATGATATTATGAAGTGAATAAAGGAAAAAACACGAAATAATCACAATCTCTGTGGTGAAATTTCTTACTTATCTAAAAGAGAACAATAAAATGATAACATTGAATTCATTAAAATGATAAAACGATAGCATCAAAAAAATGAAATACAAAAAAAGTAGATAGTGCGATCACTGTCGATTGTCGGAGAATAGCTTGTGGAATTATTGTCGGAGAATAGCTTGGGATCAATACAGTATCCGAATAAAAGAAAGAAGATATAAGCATTTCATGTTAGATCATATTTGTTGTCCATTTTATAACTTGGGTGGACATCCTAATTATCTTGCAAGATTGTCATAGGCCTTGTCTCTCACAGAGTCAAGTACTTTGCTGTATCAAGCACTTCTCTATGAACAACTGAGGTTACGAAAAGTTCTATTCTCTACATTTTTCTTGCAATTGTCTGAGAACAAATCCATCTCTTTGAAAACCACATTGGCTCTCAGATAGAAGTGCTTCTGTGACATGAATCTATTTAGAAGTATTCCTGTTGTATACATTGCACCAGAGCGGGTCATATATAGAGTGGTCATTTTATAGTTTAAATATTAAAATACGCTTTTGTAATTAAGTATTGCGCAAAAATTCATCTGCAAATTAATAAAACTTTCAATTAATAATGATTTTAATTCAATTTAAGAATTAAAAATAAATTTTATTTCAAGTTTAAATTTTGAGTTTTTTAAAAATTTTAAAATTTGTAATAGTTTTCGTACATTTAACAAGAAAATTGGTTCTAAATTATCAATTTTAATTTTAATTAAATGCCAAAAGTGATATAAATAGCAATATTTTGAACTTAATTGATTATGTTATACTTATTTAATTCTTACAGCTACAATTATTTTTTATTTTAAATTTAAAATTCAATTCCTATGAAAATTCATTAATTTATTAGAATTTTAAAATAAATTCTAGTAATATCAAAAACTATTTTTAATTAAATTTAAAATATTAAAAAATCTCAAATCATTAAAAAAATAGATATTTTTTAGTTAATTGATTGAATTTTATGCGTTGCATAAGTACTGGTCACACACATCGTGGTCATTTGACCAGCAATAATAATAAAATAAACTTTATTTCATTGACAAAATTAATTAAATTTTTAATTTTCCACGATTCCTATTCATTCTTACAATTAAAATAAATTTATATTTCAAATTTAAATAACCCATTTATAAAAATCCCATAATTTGTACAGGTATTTGCATATTAAACTAGGTAAGAAGTCTTACTATGATCAAAATTTGAATTTAAAGGATGTTAAAACTATTAAAAATTATCATTTAATTAAAAAAAATTGATTATTATATACGCATAGTACGGGAACATTGTGGTCATTTGACATCTTAAATAACAAAATAATGCTTAGGCTTAGGCTTAGGGTATACTTAGGCTTAGGCTTAAGCTTTATTTCAAATCTAAACATTGATTTTGGTGAAAATTTTATAATTTGCAAGAGTTTTTGTATATTAAACGGGAAAAAAATTTCTCGTTTTATCAATTTTGATTTTAATTAAATGTTTAAACTATTAAAAAATGTCAATTCATTAAAAAAAATTAGTGCCGGTCGCTTACGGTGTGGTCAATTGACAACATAAATAAGAAAATAAACTTTAATAACGAAGTTTTTTTAATATTAGAGAAGTGAAATTAATTAAAATTTTTTTTTAATATTAGAGAAGTGAAACTAATTAAATTCAAATTAAAAATTAAAATTTTGTAATTAAGTTTTGCGCAAAAATTCATCAGTAAAATTAATAAAACTTTCAATTAACAATGGTTTTAATTCAATTTAAGAATTAAAATTAAATTTTATTTCAAATTTAAATTTTGAATTTTTTAAAAATTTTAAAATTTGTAATAGTTTTCGTACATTTAACAAGGAAATTGGTTCTAAATTATCAATTTTAATTTTAATTAAGTACAAAACTACTATAAATAGCAATATTTTGAACTTAATTGATTATTGTAAGAAAGTTAGCAGTTGTAAAAAGCCAAGTGATACTTCGATACTTTAAGCAGAGTGGGACTCGGAGATTCGATAGAATTTCTTTTGCTCCCAGAAATTCACAATATTCGTGGAATTTAGCGTGAGGTGCTTCCATATTTTGGATGAAATTCCACCAATCCTCTATTCTTTACGAATTTCAATTGCTGTGTGGATTTGAGAGTCTCTTTAAAAGTTAAAACTACGTTCAGTTCAGTTTTCAATGGTTAGTGATGTGCTGAATTGCGAAGTCTTTAGCTGGATGATAAACACTGAAAACGGTTGGTTGAGAATGGAGGATTTATCTATGAGGATGGAGTGGCTCTGAGTTCCGAAGAAGGCTGTGAACCATATATTGATCACATACTGCTTTTAAAGCCTCTTAGAGTGCTCTATGGTTGCTGGTATCTTCACATGATTAGATCTTTTGTCCGAGATTGTTAAATCATTTGATGTACTTACGTTTCTGTTGTAGTTTACTATTTCCAAAATATCTGCTTTTCTTGCAAAATAAGATTAACAAGGTGTGTTTTCAGAGGAACTGTCTTCTTTGATAGCTGTTCCTGGATGACTGGATTGTTTTCAGCAAAACAATCTTTGGATTTCCTTAGTGAGAATTTTAAGCATTCTGTGCAGATTTGCTGAATGATATTTTTTATGAGTTGTTAGAATGCTGAAGGGTAGGAATCTATGGGATGATTTGCAAGTCTGATTGGAGATTGACCTGAAAGTTATCTCTTAGTAATTTCAAGATTACTGTTGACCTCGATCTTCTTCCTTGGAAGTTTGTCTCTTCCAGGTTTGGTTGGAAGTGTAGATTTTGAATTGCACAAGGTGGTAATTCGTTTAACATTTTGCACTGGGCATCGCTAAGATATAGTTAACATCGCGAATGTATCTTTGGTACCCACTTAGACTGGTTACTCTGCTATTGAAATCTTCAGGGATCATAACTTTATAGTCTGTAGGCAATTTTTGAGTGAGACGGTGAAGAGATCAGGTATCATGTTTTCATCCTGAATAGTTGGGGTGTATGTGTTGAAAAAGACAGTTTGTTTGTTTTGTAGTGGAAGGCATCAGGGGGTAATGAAATCAGAATGATAGCGGATTTCAGTAATTGGTTCAATTGCAGCAGATGATCATTGGCTGTGGTTGGTCAGCCGAGTTAACGATAAGCTTTGCATTAGGCAACCTCTTTAAGCTCTTATCTATGATGGAGCAAGTGATGTGCTCGGTCAAAAATACCTGATCTTTTAGAATGTTGCGGAAAAGATGTCATCTTTCATTGCAAGACATTGTGAAGATGGATGTATCCTTCAAGTCTACGTAAAGATCTTTTTAGATAACCGTAGTATGGCGGAATTGGTCTCATCCTTTAGAATATATAAAAGATTTACAAGTTAAACATAAGATTGGAAACAAAGAATCTAAAGTATAAACATTACTGCAAAGATTTTATACAACATATTTCTTACTCATATTCTCACCAAACGGATAACAAATATAATCTAACATGAAATGCTTATATCTTCTTTCTTTTATTCGGATACTGTATTGATCCCAAGCTATTCTCCCACAATAATTCCACAAGCTATTCTCCGACAATGGACAGTGATCGCACTATCTACTTTTTTTGTATTTCATTTTTTTGATGCTATCGTTTTATCATTTTAATGAATTCAATGTTATCATTTTATTGTTCTCTTTTAGATAAGTAAGAAATTTCACCACAGAGATTGTGATTATTTCGTGTTTTTTCCTTTATTCACTTCATAATATCATATTATAACTTTTGCTCATTAATTCTTCGGCATAGTTTTTCACATAGAAAAAAAGAGAAAATGAGTGCGATGAAGAAAGAATTGATTAATTTAATCATTTGTTTCAGTTCCTTGCTTGATGAAAAATTAATAAAGTGAAATTGTGATTCCTGATTATATCTTGAGTTATGTTGATAGTTTTGAACAACTAAATTATGCTTCATCCTTTATTCCAACTCGTTAGGATTAGGTTCAATTATTTGATGTTGAAAAAAACAATTGTTTCATGCTTTTATCAGAGAGAAATTTTATTTGAGAAGAATTTCAAGAAACTTTTTTATCTTATAATAACCAATAAATATGTTTGTAATAATTGTCAACTCTATGATGTAAAGCCAAACTTTCTTCTTTTTCACTTTCTGCACAATCCAGATTCTTTTGAACACTTCTTGGTATTGCAATCGCTGTCCGTCCTACATGGTTGACCAAGCTCATATATCAACTCTGTCAGTACATTTCCACTGAAACTTTTGCCCTATGAATCAAATTAAATGAAGTATGTAAGTTTTCATAATCTTTTGAAACCCAATTACGTCCGAATTACAAGTAGAATAACAAACGACAGCTTAATGAATATAAGTGGCTATTAAACTGTCGCCTGTCATTGATAATAACATTAAAGCTTACGCGGGTGAATAATGGCAAACAACTATAAGTGTGTGACCACCATCGCAATTTGTGACAATACCACAACCAATTTTATGCGTTTTACCCCAGGCCATCTGAAAATAAATGTTCAAATAAAATTTATAGGAACTTCCTTAATTGTAAAAGTTATCAGATTTTTTTTCTTTCCAAAAAAAGATCGATTCTTTTTAGACTTTGTCTTTCTTGCCAGAGCAAAACTTTTAGAATTGTCTCAAGACCAAGCAGGACCAATCTTACCTTTCTTCAGAGATAAGCTTTTGGGTCTTGTTTGATAGAAAAAGAAAGAATAAGTCTTTGAAATCACAGAAAGCATTCTTAACTAAATGCTAGACTGTGCTGTTACAATTCCCGAGATTTCAAAACTATGCCTATAATAGAAAATGTCCTACTTATTATCTTCGGTAAAAAGTGACAAGTTACTTTCTTATTATTCTTGCAGTCGATCAAAATGCAAAGTGCGTCTTTAATATAATAACTTTGCAGCAGAAGTATAAGTTAAGTTAGTTATTGTCAGGTGCAGAAAGATTGTTCAACGCTCCCGAAATCTTGTTAGTTTGTAGAGGTATCAGTATCAGTGGAGTGACGTTTTTCTTTTCCAAATTTGAAACTATATGGTAAATGCAACCTGTGTGAAATGCAAAGCACTTTGCCTAGAAACTTCCGGCGACAAATTGTTGGAAGGGTTGTTCCTGTACAGTTGTGAAAGTTCTGACCACCAGCTTTTCCCAGCATTCGTACCAGCGGTATTTTTAAGCTCTGAAGGGATATTTCGTTAATTCATTCCTGTTAACCCATTATTATTTTTTGATTTCCAATATCCCACTTATCATGTACACTGAAAAGTGTTTCTAAATTTAATATGTCAAAAATATAAACATAGTTACTTTCAACGCTTACTGATGACCAGTAAGCGTAGAGATTTTCACCGGTTCCTTGTCTTTGATTTCTCGGAGAGTGCCCAAAGGTGCACTGATCTGCCCATGTTTGCGCAGAATTTTCTAGCTGACAACTCCATGTCTGAACAATTGATAAGTAATAATTAGGACTAATAAGTATCAGCATTAAGTAATTCGATAATTAATACAATAACAAAAGGAAGATGGGAACTTTTGGCAGATTTCAAAAACTTTTAATATATCTTTACCATTTGTAACATATTTTTGCCTCGTGGCATGAATATGTTATCTTTATTTTTAAGTTTTCCATGAATCAGTAATGAACGAAATTCATTGTGCTGATTAACGATGTCTATACGTTGCTGTGGTGTTAGTCGACCTCCTGGACATTCAAAACCTGCCACAACTGCAACAACTTAACTGATTTATCACTTTTCGAAATCATGATGTTAACAGTTTCTTAGCAGAATGTGATACGCTTTCAGACATTCAGAATTTATGACTTAGAATGTATCATATGAAATAAAATTCTCATTCAACATACCAGTGATAAATGCGGGAAACATGACGAAAAATGACATTTTGCTGGATTTTCTGACAGAATGTGCACTGCTAGCTTCGAAAATATATTTGATAATAGAAGATGCTCTTAGCAAATATACGAGATGACTGAAATTTTATCTTCACTGATTACCTTTTATGCAATTTTTGAACTGCATATATTCGAAGACAACATGGAAATTGCACCCTTTGCTTTTTAAAACCGCTCAAATGCTTTCAATTATCGATAAATCAAATTATTATTGAAGACTGCTTGACAAATATTTGCTTCTATTCATCTTTTTTCGGCTCACTTTTCATCCGTATTTTAATTACTTCCTTTTATTTATTTATTTATTTATTTTTTTATATTTTATAGCAAAAGTAAACTAATGAGAAACATAGTATTCTGCATCTCATATTTCAATTCAATAATTTTTTGATACGAAAAAGCAAACTTCCTAATGAAATTAAATTTCAGTAATTTGTTCACCATAATACAAGTGACTGCTTTGTAAAGAATACAATGGAACAGTCAACTTTATCTGCCGTATTTTATCTTTTCTAATTTTATTGAATTAAAGTTAGAAAAAAAAAAGTAGAAAACGGTACACTTCTTAAACATTTGCTAAATTTTTTTTCCAAATTAAGGATTTATTACAAATTTTAGTAAAATGATTAATTTTTATTTAAAATACCATTTGCTGAATATCATAATTAAAATTTTCAATGCTTACTAATGTTTTCAATTTTTTTTAATGCTTAGAAATGAAATAGAGGATTTTCTTCCCTTATTTTTTTTTTGGAAAAGAAACCTACAAATAATTATGCCAATGTATTATCGCATCATTTCATTCAATCATAGAATATGTTCAAACATGTTAGGTGTTTTTATCATAATTCGTCAAATTTTATTCAAAACTGTCATCCATATCATATTCATTTCTTCATTAAGTTTTTAGTTATGCATGCATGCATGCATGCATGCATGAACATAATTTCAATGTATTTGAATGTTTTCTAGCATGTAATTCAGCATTCATTCTGCTATCTTGCGTGAGAGCATTCGGATTTTGCAAAATATGCATGCTGAAATTGGGCAATTTATTTTCTATTTCTTATGAAATTATATGATTTTAAAACAATTTAAAGTTATTTTATATAATAAAAGAAAAAAAAACCGAAATATTTTTGATTTGATTGCATTTTTTTTAGCAGATTTTCATAAGTTTTATCATCAATTTCTGAAGAAAATTTTCTTGCTAATTCATTCTTTCAACTTTTTTTTTAAGCTTCTTCATTATACAAAATTTTAATTTACAATTTTCCAATACTAAATATAAGTTGTACGGCAGAAATATTTCTACTATATAATTATTTTCTGCCATATATTGTTTTAAAATTTCCTAAAGTTTCGTTCAATGAAAGCTTTAAATTGTATCAATAATATACGATTGGCATTTTCATTATGATTTATTACATATAGTTTAAGCAGAGATATTTTTTAAAATTATAGAAAATAACAAACAAACGATGAAAAAAATTTACAGAAATTTTAATTTGCGACAAAGAATTAGAAAATGAGAAATGTGTTAAATTTTTATATCGAAAGTACTGGCAGTTAAATTTATTTGCAATTTTCATCATATATTCATTCAATTAATGTAATCATAAAAATATTCTCATATGAAAAGTTACGTGTTCTTACGTGAACCTTATCAAATCATCAGTGATACAATTAGAGGTATTTTTTTTATTTCTTTTATTTCCAATTTTATATTATCACTCGAAACATTTATTAAATATTTTTCTTTTAAAAAACTTTAAAAAAAATTTATTTCTCGCCTTGTCCGCTTGATTCTCTCAACAGGTACGTTAATCTCTGATTCTCTGCAAAATCATCAAACTCTCAATAATGTGTAGCGAAAATATATGGTAAATCCAAAATTTTGAATTTTTATTCCAGGTTGTTGTCGAGGTATTATTGGGTAGACGAGGGTTTAACTTAGGGTTTTTAATTATTCGAGACATTGTGGATTTTTAATTTACCACCACCTGCAAATTTACCCTATTGGGAGAATAGAAAAAAAAAATTATAGCCAAAGAATATTCGAGGATGTCTGTTTTGATTCGGATTTTTAAAATTTTTGAAACTTAAGAAATAACTGTTTGTTGAGGGAAAGCGATAACTGCTGTCGTTGAATGATAAGTATTTATTTGATATAATATTTTTACGTTTTATGTAATATTTTACGTTAAAGTTGTACAATATCTATATTTATTCGTTTATAGTATTGTTTGCTTATAGTTTTATTTTAATAAGAAATGTTAGCCATAAAGTAAACGTACTATCGTTTCCTCAAATAGAATGGACGAAGTGACTTACTCCGCCCAGATGGCTATTGCATATGATAAAGCTTGTCAATGGGATGCCGCCATTTGCTTTTATGTTGTTAGTTTTTCCTTTTTTCTTAATTTGCTTTTGGTAAATAAATAATTTATGTACCATTGTAAATAAGTGAGACAAATAATTAGATTGTATAGTAACAAACAGTTATATATTAATAAGTGGATGGTTAGATTATATAGTAAATGAGTTAAGAAGCAATCAGAGCATAAATGGATTTGTACTGGTCAATTAAGAGGCGAGAAGCGTAACTCTACTGGGCGTAAAGTAGCTTAGATTTATAAGTAAATGAATCAAGTGTTTAGGAAGTAAGTACATAACTAATAAATTATTGATCTAGCTATTTGGTGAGTTGTCAAATTAATAAATGAGCTAAGTTTATAAGCTAATAAATTGAATATGGAATGGAATAAGTCAATTTCCAATAAATTGCTGAAAAAATGAGCCAATTTAAACGAGTAGTTTGATATAGAAATCAGTGAATTAATCTCTTTGTTAAGCCAAATTTCACTTTTTTTTCAATTTTTATCAGTTTTTAAAATTCCGCAATTTGTGCCATTTTATGTACAAAAAATGTTTGTACAAAAATTTGGTTCATTTTTTTTTCCTTTTTCAAAATTCCATTACATTAAGCTAGTCCTTCACATATTTTGATGTTCTTTTTTTACACTTGAAACATGCATTATTATCGACACTTATAAATAGCAAGTTATATCTTAGGATGCTGCTGATTCAATGCTGGAACTGATACGGCAAGGAAAAATTTCTTCTTCGTACAAACAGAGAGCAGAAGAATATGTGAAACGTGCTGAAATAATCAGATCACAAAGTATGTTGACTTTCATCTTTCTGTTTACATATATGTGGTTATTTACAGCAGTTTATGACTGAACAGCTTTAAGATTGCATTTGTTGCAATTATTTTTAATTTAAGTGTAATTCCTTGTATTTTTTATAATTCTCACGTAAATTTTTTTTTCATGTGAATCTTACTAAAATATTTGACATACAAATATTTTCGCTTTTTCACATGAATTTATAGTTTTGACTTACTGGAAAAAGGGAATTCATTCATTAGGTGCATCAAAGAAATCAAGCAATATTAAAAGCCAACAGCAGCTTAATCTTGAACGAGCCGAGTTTTTGTTGTATCAGGCATTGGATCAGGATGAAGCGGGGAATGTCGGCGAAGCTATCATATTGTATTCTCAAGCCATTGAGCTTTGTATCAATACTTCGGTTCGTCTAACTTTTCTGCACTTATGATTGTTAGATACCGGAATGTAAATATTTAAATTAGCCTTATTTTAAGAGCACATCTTGTGATACTACCATGACTGAAAAATTACGTCAATTGGCTAAGAAGGCTTTGGATCGGGCAGAAATCCTGAAAGCTCAAAAGAAACTAAGAGAAAGTCCTACCTTAGATTTACCCGAACCGCCTGTGGATGGTACGCTCTATTTATTTTATCTATACATTTATTATTGCTGCTTTATAAATTCAGAAAAAAAAAATTTTTTTTTAGTTATAAGTCTCGATTTTTTTTTTGACTTTAATCTGAAACACTTTTCAAGAAGCAAAGCTTAATGCAGTAATGTATGAAGTTTTCAAGTATGATAGCTCATTTTAACTTTACTAAAGAAATAAACTTGCTTTATTTAATTTATATGAAAATAACCTACTAATATTTATATGAAAATAAACTACTAACATGATGAAATAGACCAGATATTTGTAGAAATATCTGATTTGAATATAAACACGAACTTTGAGCAGTCGGCTGCTAAGCCTAATAGTAGTAAAACAACGTTGGCCATTAGACGGAAAACTGGGAATGATGATAATGATCGCCTTACTAAATCTGAATTAACAGTATTGGCTACAACATCAAATGTTAATGGAAGACAGTATGTCCCTTTTTTGGCTGTCGATTTAAAGGAACGCTTTGCTTATCCGGTACCATTTACGTAAGTTTGCAAACATAGAATTCTTAGTTTTAATGAAAATATAATTCAAAGAAAAAAAAAAAAAGGACAGTGGGATTTATTTGAAATATTATTTCAGTGATAAACATGGTTTGTTGGCTTTGTCTGATAAACAAGCAAAACGATTGAAAAGTTGGATGCGTCCAGATGAATTCATGCAGTCCCCGAAAGTAATTGATCGAATCGATAGCGGTACTATTAAACAGGTTTGCTTCCTTCTCCTAGTTTTCTTGCCAAAAAATCACAATTATAAAAACAGTGAAAAACCAGCACTTTCTCTAGATTATAATTTGAAATATGTCGAACTGTGTTTCACATTCCACTGGGATGTAATATGCTTCAGTGCATTGAGAACATTTTGGCTTACTTAGCAATGATTATATAATTCAGATTAATTGCAGACACTGAAACAGGTAATTGGAAGGTACGGCGCGCTTAATACTTCATGTTTTATTTAGAATTTGAAATGAAAGAAGATTTTTTTATCAGTATTTTAGTCAATTGTGTCCGATTGCTCTTTCGTAGCTTCACTAGCCATATCAGCTCGGTATGAAAGCCGTTTTAAGAAACCATTAGTGACAAGGTATTTTGCAAACATTTTTTTTCCTACGATATCCTCATTTCATGATATATTCTATGTTTTATATCATGATTTCTCAAACGCCTAGTAGGCCTGGAAACTTTCTCATTCTAGTCTAGACTATAATATTAAGGAAGATTTATCGATGAAACATAGTTAGTCTCTTTTTTGTCAATTTTTGTTATCATATTCTATCCTTTTAATATTCCTAAGATGCAAAATTCCATTAGTAATGCTAGAAATCATCGGACTGTCCGACTTTAATTTCTTTGCAGTATAATATATCCTCAGAATAAGTCTGGCATGCCATTGTATAACCCTTGTGGGAAATATATGATCAAAATGCATTTCAATGGTGTTTGGAGAAAGGTAAAGGTTTTGCTCAGGTATGCATATTGTGTATGTGTATACTGTATTATTTGTTCTTTTTAATCGGTCACAGAATGCGCGTATATTTAAGTGAACATCCTCTCATTTGCTATTCGAACCTAGTATTCACAGGTATATATCCATACACTAGTTTTTCCTGGATGTAATTGTATGATCTTTTCTTTCCAAGTGTACGACTTCAAGTCTGCACTGAATGATGACACAGCTTCTCATCATTTCCAATATTGACAAATTCAATCATATCGCTTTATTTAATGATTTAAACAAATTTGATTTCTGAATAGAGCATTTTCTCATTTTTATAAAGGAAAATAGAAGTTTCCTAGTGCTGCATCATTTCAAAAATACAGTAGTTTTTACTTTAATTCATATTTTCCGGTCGTAATCGATGATCGATTTCCCATTGGTGAATACGGTGATTTCCTATGTTCATATAGTCAACAAAAGTTTGTAATTTAACAGTTCACATTCTTTTCATGTTTTTAGTTTTCTACAGTTAATTTTGCTACAATTGTATTTGAATTTAAGGTGAAACTAGAATATTTTGCAGAAATGAGTTATGGGTTTCTTTACTTGAAAAGGCTTACATGAAGGTGATGGGTGGATACGATTTTCCGGGCTCAAATTCGGTAATACTTTGAAGTTAGCAACGAAGAATAAAATGATGTTGTATAAGCCTATATTTTCTAATACTGAATATTATTTTCAGAGCATTGATATGCATGCATTAACAGGTTGGATACCTGAGAGAATAAGTATTAAAAAAGATTGGTCTACTAACGATGCTGACGCTGTGTTCGGAAAGCTTTTTACAAGGTTTGTTTGTAAAATTATTTTGAATGAAGACGTATGAACTGAAAATGATGTGATTAGTCCTTGATCATTTGTGACTAATCGAGCAGAAAAGATCAGAGAAAGCGTGTTTCACATTTCTTGAAGTTTTCGCGCTGCTAAAAAGTACGAAATGTAGTCCTGAAAATTAACATCGTTCTACTAATAAATAATTTTGTCTTGAAATTAGTTTAAACATTAGTTTAGGTATCACCAGGGCCATTGTTTGATTACACTGGCAACTGGTAAAATGGATCAACTGACGATTGATCGAACTGGCTTGGTTGATGCTCACGCATATGCCGTATTAGATTTGAGAAAAATTGAAGTATGGAACAACTTGAAACAACCTTCTTTTATTTCGTAGGATAATTTTTTTCTTGGCACAGAATGTTTATTAGAATATTTTACTCTTCAGGATAAAAAGTTGTTGATGCTGAAAAATCCTTGGACACATTTGCGCTGGAAAGGACGCTATTCTGAGAAGGATAAGCTCAGCTGGACACCCCAACTTTGCAAAGCGTTGGATTACAATCCTGCCGACGCCCAGCAATTCGATGATGGTTAAAATTGATTTCGTTAATTATTATGCTGAAGTTTTGAAGAAACACGTTTTAATTGAAATTGGTTTTAGTATGAAATTATAAATTGTTGGTTGACAAAGTGGTAATGCAGTTTAGGTGTGTTTTGGATCGATTTTAAATCAGTATGTCATTTTTTCGATGTATTTTACGTGAATTGGGATCCCTCGATATTTCCATACACATATGGCTTACATGCGTAAGTGCTTACAATTTTATGTTTACTAAGAAATACATAACTTTATATGGATCGATCTCATGCAGGTTTCCTTTTAAGGATGTGGTCAGCAGGTTTGGGACCAGTGAAAGATTTGTACAGTATAGCAGACAATCCTCAGTACACACTGGAAGTAAATAGTAATGGTTCAGTCGCAATATGGATTTTGCTCACACGTCATATAACAGACAAAGTCAGAGCTTTAAATTTCGAATGTATTTTATTGTCGAATTTGATTTGAATTGAGAATTTTGATTTAAGAATCATAATTCCTGTTTTTAGAATGATTTTGCTAACAACAAAGAATATATCACAGTAATGGTCTACAAATCAGGGAAGAAAATTTACATACCATGTCAGATTTTTGGTGATATTTATATCGTTTTGTTTATATTTGATAAAAATGATGCAGTTCATAAAAGTATTGCTTGATATTTGATTATTTAAGATACTAGCAAATCTAGAAAAATATACTTACTTTTATATAAGGATATTTGATTGGAAACGTTGTAAGTGTATCGTTTAGGTTTTTTATAATCTGGTCATGATATCATCAGTTTTAGCTGATCCAAAACCAATAATGGATGCAGTGCGATTGAATAGCCCTCACTATTTATGTCAAATGATTATCTCTGAATGTGGTTATCAAAAATATACCCTAGTTGTTGCTCAGGTTAGATTTTTTAAGTAGCTCTCTATCTGTTAAAGAATGTTCAAATACTAATTCACTGATGATAAACTTTTAAGCTTTATGTAAAATTAACTATAATTCCTAGTTAGTTTACTTCAGAGTTAGTTAGTTAACGAATTATAGAAACTTCAGTGGAGGAGTTGAAATTAATAAGGGTCAGACATGAAGTAGAAACAAAAAAACAATAATGGGAATATTGACTATGCTATAGCGCTCTAATGACGTCAATTTAAATTTCTATGTTTATAGTATGAAAAGATGAAGACAATATATTATACGTTACGAGTATATTCGACAGCTGAATTTCGCTTACAGAAAGTGAAAGTGCCATATATTTCGAAGAGAAGGGTATATCGATTTAGTATTATAAATATTCTTATTTGTTTAAACGCCTCTTGATAGGGCACGTTTTTAAATTGTTTTTAGGCAACTGGCGAATGGAAAGGAAAAACGGCTGGTGGTTGTGGTAACGGCCCAAGTCGGGACACTTATATGTATGTTATTTTAATTTGCATTGATCCTTATTTATTTTCCTAAAGATTCGCTGTATCTTTTGAACACTTATTATAATTTGTATATTTCATAGGAACAACCCAATATACGAATTGAGTTTGGATGATGGTAGCGATGATAACGATGTACTTATCGAATTGAAGGGTCCGAAACAATACAGTATCGGTTTTGAAATTAAGCAGTTTTCCTCGTTGAGAAATAAACTATTTGAAGCTCGCAGTTCAGGACCATTCAGGTTCGAATTTTTTCTCTTTATTTATAGTTTTCGTTTTTTCATCCAATGTTTAACTGCTGATAATTTATAGACCGGGATATACCGTACTTGCTCTAGAAGAAGTACCGGCTGGTGTCTACAACATTCAAACAATGACTTTCCAACAAGGCGAAGAAGGACCTTTTTTCTTAACGATTGAGGCATCATGTTCGTTTACAATCAAACGGATACAGTAGCTATTTCGTGACATTGTTTTTGCAAGTTGGATTATTTTTCTTAAAGGTTATTCTAATATATGTTATACAAAAGTGAAAGAAGAACTGAGCTTTATTTCATTCCAAAGACTGACGAACAAACAAAGTTTTATGAGGTGATTATTGTCTGAATGAGATGACTGAAATAATTTCTGATCTTACTTTTGGTTTTGCACTGCGAAGATAATGGTCTTAATTTCGGTCCAAAATGTAAATAGGCTTAATAGGTTTTATTTGGAAAATGATACATTTTAAGATGAAAATATTTATTCAAAGGACAAGAAGACTATAAAATATTACAAATAAGAAAAATACTAATGAAGCATTTCGTATTGGAAAGATGAAATGAAAGATTATAGTGCATATAGTTATGTCATTAAATATGTATATACGTAGATGAATACTTGCGTGAATGTGTATCATATTCATTTTGTATTAAACAAACTTTAGATATCTCTCTGTTTTCATAGCAAATCGTTCTGTACATTCTTTTTTGTTTGCCACTATTGTTCTTTCTTTCGATCTATTATGTGCAAATATTTTATGAATAATGTTTGAATTTATGAAAAAAAAAAAAAAAGAATAAATAGTTTCTCTTAGCAGTATTTCGTTATTTTTTTCTGCATTTTTTTTTGCTTATAATACAGAAATAACAATAAGAAAATTAGTTTTCATTAAAATAATTTTCATTAACTTCATAGGCAGAAGCTACCAGCTCGCATTTGACTTTTTTGTTGTTCGGTTTGGTCAGAAAATTTATCAGAAGCATTATTAGAAGCTGTTAGTCACATTTGCCTTCCTCCCCTTTGCTAGTATCCTGAAAGTGCCTTAGCAATACTATCTTTTGTTTTGATACAAATGTCCTATTTTTTTTTAACTTACGTAAATCATCAATTTCGTAATAATCATTAAGGAAAAATGATATTATATATTCAAAGATTAACTACCTATCGCAATTTGGTCACTTAAATCGATAGAATTGATCATAAAAAGGAAATAAAATTTTATTTTTTAATAGTTCTTAATATATATCTATTGAAGTTTTTGGTATTTTTTAAGTGAGAATTTACTCCGTCATATTTTTTATCAACAACTGAGGATTTTCTTCATCACATAATTTTATTCATTTGCAACGGATTCACTATTATTCCTTGGAATCAGAACTTCATCTAACCAGCTCCCGCCTAGCTGGTCCAAAAATGGTTCAGATTATTGCAACTTTACTAATCAGATAACCGGTTTGTTCTAGCAAGATTCCCTCTGAATCTTAAACTTTTTTTGTTTGTTATTACTACATAGTAGTAACAATAATAGTAATAAGATTTGTCAAAAAATATTGGATGTTTTTTACATCACCTTATGATAAAGTTAGTAAACAATATAGAACCACACTTGTTTTTTTCAAATGTTAGTTTACAAGTTATTATTGTTGAGTAAGTATCATTGCTTTTGCATTTGTCTCAATTTGAATTAGTGCAGGGAAGCAATGTTAGCTATATTTCATTTTATTCAAAGTCATTTAATCGGTATTATTTAACACTATTAATTTGATTAATTGCTTCCAAATAAATAAAAATGTTATGTCAAATATTATTAATCAACTGTGATTTTATGACGCATTTGTATAAACAGATGAAAGGATAACAATGTTGGCCAATTTTTCTCTCTAAGTTTTGCGAATCGTTTTTTAAATTTATGAAGAAGTATTTTTCTTTTAATATCAACAAATTGAGCATAATACTGGAAAATAAAATTGCGAATTTCAGAATGACATAAAATTAATTATTTGTTTTTGGAAATAGAAAATACAATTTTACTACATAGTAGTAATCTACTAATAACAGTAAATAGTAAATGTATATTTCTTTATGTTTTATATTTCAAATAATGTCGCAATTTTCGTTATTTTATTTTATAGTTTAGAAATGAAAAATCTGCATTTGCATTTTGAAATTGATTTTTTTTAGTCACATCTATCTCGAAATTTCGAGAATCAGATGTAAGACTGAATGATTCCAATTTTTTCCTCATAATTTTTCTTTTCTTTCAAAATTTTCTCAATTCATATTTCATGAGTAAAAAAAAAAAAAAAAAAAAATTAGATTAGAATTTATCCAATTCTTTCACGAATTCGAATCATTTTTCAACAATTGTTCATTTTTTGAATATTATATCGGCTGAACGTACAAAACATCCTAATATTAAATGCAATCAAAGCATATCAAATGCTAACAATATTTTGAAATAATATCAATGTGACACTAAACAGTATAGAATACAATCGTAATATCTAGCTGATACAAGTGATAATTGTATTTCATACAGAAATATTGTATGATTATTTGAGCGATCACTCATGTTTTTGCTTTTTTTTTTTTCAAGTTTTTTCAACAAATCAAAATTTTTGATTTAATATGGCAATATAACTAATGTATACAAAATATATTAAAAATCATAAACTATTTTCTTTATCTTTATATATATATATGTTAACTTTATTATTTATGTTAAAAAACAAACATAAATATCATATTAGTAAATAAATTAATAAATGAACGAATTGTTTCATATGTTTATGTTTTTTTTTTTTTTCTTTTATGTAATCAAAATTTAATCATAAATTAAAATTTTTCTATTATTTTTTAATTTGTAGGAGAGAATAACGAAAATATTATCTTAAGTATGGATGTTAACAATATTTAACTAAATAAGTAAGTTATTTCAAAGCTAATCTATGATGGCAAAGAAAAATGATAAATACGTGTAATTGATTATCATATTTTATCACATTTAGAATAATAAATCCAATACAAATATTATTGCATGAAATTAGTAAGCGGAATGATGATTATAAATATCATCGTTATCATTTCTTTACTCATTTAAAGAATCATTTATTATCATTTCAAGTGAACTACAATGTAAGAATTATCATTCAAATAAGTAAAATATGTTTAAAATATTATCGATCATAACTCGTTGGATTCAAATCTGTTTTTTCCAAAATAAATTACATAGTCATTTTCTCTGCAAAATCAATTACAAGTTTTAGATTTAGCTTAATTAGCATAAGCCACATGTAAGAGGGCATTGAATAGAAATTAATGGTATATACAATGGTACATTACAAAGATATTTCACATCTTTACAATTTGATTGTCCATCAATTCCTTTCTTGTCCTCACAAATTGCTGAAATCAAAATAAATGATTATATATTTCCAATAATTGAATTTCTATATCAGAATCACAATTATCACCTCATTTCATTGATTTGATAACTATATTAATGAATGTATTTTATTCTAAAATTGCAAAATTTTCAGTCTTTAAGATAAATTTAAAAAAAAAAAATTTGTTTCTTAAAAAAATTAAAAAAAAAAGAAAAACAAAAAAAAAAAAAAACATTACATTCATTATCAGCTACAAAATTCGTTCATCTATGATTCTTTAATTTATTGATAACATCATACATGAATAGTTTAATTAAACTTACATGATGTAGACATTGTTGATATTTCGCTATCACAAAAACCACATGTTTTAGTACATTGATCTTTCATAAGTTCCGCATAAATTGGATCATGACAGAGATGAGAATGTAATGGACAGTCAGATGGTTTTCCAGATGCTGCTTTATCTTGACAAATTTCTGGTGTAAGTGTAATTGTCGGTGACATTGCTAAATAAACTATGTAAGAATGTGATAATTAGTTGGATAAAAAAAAAAAAGATGTTTTATTAGCTTTTTGCTTTATCTAATCACTACTAATTACGTTGATTTTAATGCTTGAACCGATGACTAAAAATAATTAATTTAGCAAAATAAAACAGTACTGATCTAACATTTTCGCATTCCTTTTTTCTTTTGCGAAAAAAAAAAAAAAAAAAAAAAAAAAAGATCGCATCCTTTTCTTTCCTTTTTTTCCCTGATTTCTATTATTCTATCATCCAATTATTTGATAATTTTTAATACATACATTGCTATTTAAAATAAAAATAAATATTTCAACAACTAACGTATATCACAATAGCCGCATGTTAATTGACAAAGTGATGCCATCAATGTTTGGTATAATTTGTTCTTGCAAAGAAAATAATACTTCAAACAATCAGATATTTTATCGTAACATTCATCTGATAATTAATAATAAGTGATTTGAATTTGTTACATTTTTAAAAATTTAAATAACTTTATGGAATTCTATTTTATATAACTTTATGGACTTTATGGAATTCTATTTTTTTTTTTCCAATGGAATAAAAATTTAGAAATTTATAAGAAATATGAATAGTTTGTACCACTAGGAATTGTAGTGAGTGGAACGGTGACATCAGGGATATCGGTGACATCATCATCATCATCTACTTTTGGTGTTTTCAACCAGATGCAAATATTCGCCTTTTTTTCCGAATCGACACATTTAGAATCTTCGTGTTCACATTCATTATTTTCATTACAATCTACATATTAAATGATATTATAATATTGATAGTAATAACAATTGCTATTGTCAAATTTAGTTAAAAACTTAATATTTTATTTTTTTTTTAAAATAATTTTGCATACAAATTGCTTAATAAATTTATTCTTAAATATCGAAGCAAAAAAGTTTAAGCGTTTGTTCAATTACCTCCAACAACTTCATAGCACTGATCTTCGTAACAATCATCGCTTTCCAACATACATCCTCCATCGATACAGGCTAATGAACATAAATTTCTTTCAAATTATTTGTGAAATATTAATTATTCCTTGAAACGAATAAATCGTTTCATTCAAAATTTTAATCTTTTAGACTTCAATAAATGTGTAAGTGCATAAGAATTAAATCTCACTAATTTTACGAAATTTTAAGTTTGACCAAAGTTTAATTATTATTTATTTCTTGTAAAATAAAGATGTGAAAAGAAAAGTTGAAAAGCAAAATATTTGCAAAAAAAAAAAGTATTACGTCCTCTTTGTGCAGTCGCACATTGCAG